TGTAAGTAATTACAATCCACTTCTATTAGGAGAGAGACGACGCACAGACGGGTAGGCTATGATTAATTAACACGCAATCTCGTTATGATGACAAATGCATTCAAATAAATGCAATCTTACTCTGCATCTTTAGCTGATTTAATAACTGGTAAAATAACTGACGGAAATGCACCGTTATTTTCATCCTTCCAAACAGAAGTATATGCAGTGGTTATCATTATTGGGTTTTTATGTAACTGTGTCGAGTCTGGGGTGTGCGATATACAGTATATCTGCGATAATATGGTAAGTGTTGTTTTAATGATGTGCGATCGGACATTATCAAGTAGGCTATTACACACAGAGTGCACACACGTTGATTTATTAATCTATTAAAACTCAAAATTCAAGGTATTCTAAATTGTAGACGGCAAAAATGCCTCTGTTTGCTTTTTATATTTATATAATTTAATATAGTTAACTTAATCTATATCACACAAAGAGTACCGTTTTTCTGCAGATATCAGCATGAACATATTTTATTTATTTGCTTCTTTTCCATTTTGCATTTACTTGTACTTTTACTTTCAATACTTAAGTACGTTTAAGATTTTAAAAATACTTTTCGCACTTAAGTACAATAAATCTCACATACTTTTACTCAAGTAATATTCTTAACGGTGACTTCAGCTTCTACCAAAGTCATTTTCTGGTGAGATATCTGTACTTTTACTTGAGTATGGCTTTCAGGTACTTTATACACCACTGCTAAAAACTCCCACACTGCTTCCTTGCCTCCTCGGAGGAACGCCCCTGATATATATATATATATATATATATATATATATAGTCCAGAGTTAACTAGGAGAAGATTCCTGCTCTTTGCCTTTACTTTCATCTAAAGCAATTTGCATTGCATTTAACATATACCTTTTGTAGTCATGCTCATGCGTTTCCTGAGATCGAATGCATGATTCTGGCATGCTTTGCTCTACTCATTAATCCTGAAAATGCAACTGCAGTTTTGATTCTAAACTTTACATTTTATTTTTATTTATTTAAACTGAGATTAAAATTAAACAGGAAACTAAATTGTGCATTTAGACAGTTAAAGGAGATTGCAAGAAAAGTTTCCTGCCTACATACCATCTAAGATGATTTAGGCAACTATACAGTATTTAAGGCTATTCTGTTTGTTAGGATATTATTATATACACAGCTGTCCCTCATAACAGCTATAACCGGTTTTCTGTATAACCCTAAGTATGAAATCCCGCACCCACCCCTGACAATAAGACCATTGAAATGTCTGTCTGTCCTGTTGGGTTCAGATGATCTGGAATATAGTGCATGAGTCATACTGTTTTCTTTAATGTTATGATAATTTATCAATAGCTTCATGATGCTTCTTTGTCCAGTTTGCATGAGGATGAGTGAATGAACTCTCCTCTTTATTTGTTTCGTTTAAAACAGTGACAGATAGGAGATCGGATGATGTTTTATTAACCCATGTGGTTTTTACTGCAGCAACTAATGCAAACACACGCATGTTTGCATATGCATGAATTTGTTAAGCTAATGATGCATGTCAAATGCATTTACACAAATACTGAAAAACCTAAGAAATTAGTTATTTGCATGGAGAGTCACGTTTTCATTTTTTTTTTTTTTTTTTGTACAGCGCTTTTCACGATACAAATCATTGCAAAGCAACTTTACAGCAAATTAAGTTTCTACAATATTTAGTGGTAGCTTATCAGTGGTGACTGTCAGTCAATGTACATCCATTTGACCTGGGATCTGCAATGTGTTTTCTAACAAATATCAACCAAGCTTTATTATATTTATATTACAAATGGACTAGTTTGCAGTATTTCCTTTTAACTCTTTTTTTTTTTAGTCTTTGGTCAATTGATGAAATCCTCCAATACAGTACAACAGAGAATATATATTGTAGAAATTTTGTAGAAATGATTTCTGTGCAAGGCAATCATAAAGCAGTTCATAGGCATTTATTAATGTTTTTGTCAGAAAGCTGAACACAGGAGCAAAATTATTACTTAATGTTTTTATGTAGTTACTATTGAATCTTCTTTTTTACGTTGTAAGTTAAATGTCTTGAGAACCAACTGGATTGTTTTGTATTTTGGAAGTCAATGGTGGAAAAAAAAACGCGACTCCGGTGGGACTCGAACCCACAACCTTTGAATGTCATCGCTAGATTTGCCTAGAAGTCCAATGCGCTATCCATTGCGCCACGGAGCCACCTGTTGATCACGCCGAATATTACAGCTATTATTGATCTCAGCCAAAACAGGTGCCAGGTGTTTTCTGAGTATTTGTAACTTTAAATGGTTTTTGACCCGTTACATTATAAATATTTATCTTTTACGTGTTATTTTAGATCGGCGTTGTTTGTTTGTCATGCGATGCTGTGATTGGCTGAGACGGGCAGACACGTGACACGGAAGAGAACGCGGTAGTGTTATTGAAACTTCTTCACCTAAACAAATAAACAAAGTTCACAACACATATTTTAGTATATGGTCAGTTTTAATAAGGCAGCTGTATCTCAACGATCGTCCGACTCTAACAGCGAGGAGTTCTACACGAGGACAGGTTTACATTTGTTGTCATGCGTTTTTACTCTGAGAACCGCAAAGCACTAGTCTGGCTTTCATAATTAAGGTAAATACATTGGAACTTTTATTTGGTATAAAATCGATTATTTTACCGGTAAAGTTTAGTTGTTATTTATTCAAAAAATGATCCGTTTACACGTTATTCGTAATGTAATGTTGTTTGGAAGTTTAAAAGAGGTTTAAAAGTAAAAAGTGTAATATATTAAACAGTAATTTATATTTGATTATTATTGTTTTTATTTTATTTTTTGAAGGAAATGACTATAAATGCTGTCGTTCTGATTTCTGCATGTGAAAGCATTAGCGGTCAGCAGGTGTCGCTGTAGCTGCGCGCAGCCACCGGACCTAAGGGAGACACGCAGGTAATGACGCACACAGCGCTGCAGAGGGCGCTAGTCAAGCAGCTCATTCGGTGTCCACCTTATATTTTTAACCTGCATGCCGGCTGTTTGTAACTGAATGGGCGAGACTTCCGGTGTTTTGATGTTGCAAACTGCATGGCATTTCTTATCATATCATTTAAATTCATTATCGCGATCATAAACAAACTGGCCTGTAGCACAAATAGTTTTAGCGTTCACTGCAGTTCTTTTAGTTATTTACCTAGATTCAGAAGTCTGCACATTCACAGAAAATAGCTTCCCCTTGCAAAGTAAAGTCGATATACTGCAGCCCAGCAAATATTTGTGCTTCATTCACTTAAAAATCAATGTTTGCATTAGTTAGTAAATTGCAAGTGGTGTTGATTTAAAAGGAAGTTAGCACATGCACAAAAACAAAGCATTTGACAAAATGAAGGTTGTGAAACGTTAGTAAAATGTCATAGTAATGTAATGAAATACACTTAGCATGTTGCATACAGGACGAGTTTATGCCTTTCAATTCTTGAATACACACAATGCAGAACAAACATGAGATTATGTGCTTGAAAACTGAATTGTATTTCACTTGGCAACATACTTGTTTTTTGTTTTTCAAAGCACACAGCGGTTTTAGGATTTACAACTGTATTTAAGTACCCAGCTAGAACGTTCTGACAGGTCCTCTTTAAGTTTTCAGTACTAATAACGTTAATTGAATGTTGGCTCAAAGTTGATATTAAAGCCGGGCTTGAATAAAGTCATCAAAACAATAGCACAAAAACATTATTCATGGAACGATTTGATAAACATTTCAGTTGGATGTTCGTCTAATGTATCAAACCTGCTACTTGTTACAGATGGTTGAGAGAACATTGAAAGTAACATTCTCATAATGATTACAAAATGTTACAATCGAACATTCCTTTAATGGTTTCTCTTATGTTCACATAACCAAGAAAGAAAGTTCTGAATGTTCTCAGAATAACATTTTTGTTACTCAGCGGGAATGTTAGCAAAATGTTCTTTTAGTGAACGTTCTTATTTTTTGTTAGCTGGGTGGTTCCCCCCAAAATGTTGGACCCCATTGACTTTCACTGTATGAGCCAAGAAAGACACGCAGTGTCTTTTCACGATACAAATCATTGCAAAGCAACTTTACAGCAAATTAAGTTTCTACAATATTTAGTGGTAGCTTATCAGTGGTGACTGTCAGTCAATGTACATCCATTTGACCTGGGATCTGCAATGTGTTTTCTAACAAATATCAACCAAGCTTTATTATATTTATATTACAAATGGACTAGTTTGCAGTATTTCCTTTTAACTCTTTTTTTTTTTAGTCTTTGGTCAATTGATGAAATCCTCCAATACAGTACAACAGAGAATATATATTGTAGAAATTTTGTAGAAATGATTTCTGTGCAAGGCAATCATAAAGCAGTTCATAGGCATTTATTAATGTTTTTGTCAGAAAGCTGAACACAGGAGCAAAATTATTACTTAATGTTTTTATGTAGTTACTATTGAATCTTCTTTTTTACGTTGTAAGTTAAATGTCTTGAGAACCAACTGGATTGTTTTGTATTTTGGAAGTCAATGGTGGAAAAAAAAACGCGACTCCGGTGGGACTCGAACCCACAACCTTTGAATGTCATCGCTAGATTTGCCTAGAAGTCCAATGCGCTATCCATTGCGCCACGGAGCCACCTGTTGATCACGCCGAATATTACAGCTATTATTGATCTCAGCCAAAACAGGTGCCAGGTGTTTTCTGAGTATTTGTAACTTTAAATGGTTTTTGACCCGTTACATTATAAATATTTATCTTTTACGTGTTATTTTAGATCGGCGTTGTTTGTTTGTCATGCGATGCTGTGATTGGCTGAGACGGGCAGACACGTGACACGGAAGAGAACGCGGTAGTGTTATTGAAACTTCTTCACCTAAACAAATAAACAAAGTTCACAACACATATTTTAGTATATGGTCAGTTTTAATAAGGCAGCTGTATCTCAACGATCGTCCGACTCTAACAGCGAGGAGTTCTACACGAGGACAGGTTTACATTTGTTGTCATGCGTTTTTACTCTGAGAACCGCAAAGCACTAGTCTGGCTTTCATAATTAAGGTAAATACATTGGAACTTTTATTTGGTATAAAATCGATTATTTTACCGGTAAAGTTTAGTTGTTATTTATTCAAAAAATGATCCGTTTACACGTTATTCGTAATGTAATGTTGTTTGGAAGTTTAAAAGAGGTTTAAAAGTAAAAAGTGTAATATATTAAACAGTAATTTATATTTGATTATTATTGTTTTTATTTTATTTTTTGAAGGAAATGACTATAAATGCTGTCGTTCTGATTTCTGCATGTGAAAGCATTAGCGGTCAGCAGGTGTCGCTGTAGCTGCGCGCAGCCACCGGACCTAAGGGAGACACGCAGGTAATGACGCACACAGCGCTGCAGAGGGCGCTAGTCAAGCAGCTCATTCGGTATCCACCTTATATTTTTAACCTGCACGCCGGCTGTTTGTAACTGAATGGGCGAGACTTCCGGTGTTTCGATGTTGCAAACTGCATGGCATTTCTTATCATATCATTTAAATTCATTATCGCGATCATAAACAAACTGGCCTGTAGCACAAATAGTTTTAGCGTTCACTGCAGTTCTTTTAGTTATTTACCTAGATTCAGAAGTCTGCACATTCACAGAAAATAGCTTCCCCTTGCAAAGTAAAGTCGATATACTGCAGCCCAGCAAATATTTGTGCTTCATTCACTTAAAAATCAATGTTTGCATTAGTTAGTAAATTGCAAGTGGTGTTGATTTAAAAGGAAGTTAGCACATGCACAAAAACAAAGCATTTGACAAAATGAAGGTTGTGAAACGTTAGTAAAATGTCATAGTAATGTAATGAAATACACTTAGCATGTTGCATACAGGACGAGTTTATGCCTTTCAATTCTTGAATACACACAATGCAGAACAAACATGAGATTATGTGCTTGAAAACTGAATTGTATTTCACTTGGCAACATACTTGTTTTTTGTTTTTCAAAGCACACAGCGGTTTTAGGATTTACAACTGTATTTAAGTACCCAGCTAGAACGTTCTGACAGGTCCTCTTTAAGTTTTCAGTACTAATAACGTTAATTGAATGTTGGCTCAAAGTTGATATTAAAGCCGGGCTTGAATAAAGTCATCAAAACAATAGCACAAAAACATTATTCATGGAACGATTTGATAAACATTTCAGTTGGATGTTCGTCTAATGTATCAAACCTGCTACTTGTTACAGATGGTTGAGAGAACATTGAAAGTAACATTCTCATAATGATTACAAAATGTTACAATCGAACATTCCTTTAATGGTTTCTCTTATGTTCACATAACCAAGAAAGAAAGTTCTGAATGTTCTCAGAATAACATTTTTGTTACTCAGCGGGAATGTTAGCAAAATGTTCTTTTAGTGAACGTTCTTATTTTTTGTTAGCTGGGTGGTTCCCCCCAAAATGTTGGACCCCATTGACTTTCACTGTATGAGCCAAGAAAGACACGCAGTGTCCAGTATTCATATTAAAGTCTTCACTTTAACTTCTATGCATGGTTAAATAACCTACTGATTGATAATTCAAATAAAAATGAATGCGTTCATCAGTAGTTGATGTTAAATGCTGAAACATTTTTTAAAGCTGAAATGATTTTTGTAAATCCAGTGTTTAAATGCTGTGTAGCACCTGACTAATGACTGATCTCTGTTTCAATGTCCACAAAACTGGAAGACTTTCTGAGTGTGTACAAGCGGCAGGCTATTTTAGAAAGGAACATTTCAAAGATGAAAAAGAGGAATTTGAGAGAATCAATAAATTATGAATAATGTATTGCTATTGTGTGAATAATATGTAATCGTGTAATCTATAAAAAGTAACTGTAGTCTGATTCTGAGTGTTTTAAAATGTAATTTACTCTAATCACAAGAACTTAATTTTTTGGAATCTGAATACGTAATCCAGATTACATGTAACCAGTCTGCTTTACTGGTTTGCAATTTAATTCACATTCATTTGTATAGCGTTTTTCATGATACTCTGTATCACAGAAAATGAACATTTCTACATTACATTTAGTAGTTTACAGCACAAGTCAATACCACTAAATGAGCTACCTTGACCTGACTGTTCCAGAATTACTAAACCACTGACTACTGCACAATCTTAATCTAAAACACCTTCAGCCAGCATCCAGTATAAAACACTGCTGCTTTTAAACCAAAGCTTGCTGATTTTTGTTTTGTTTTACTGACATCTGTAGGCCTACATGAGTAGCTACTGTTAGCCTATGTCCGCCATCTCTGATGACATCGGCCGTGTTTTCTCTGCATTCATTAGCGCTGTTTTGAACTTACTGTTTGAATGCATTCACTTTCTGGATCCTTAGACATTCCAGGAGTTTACCGGTTGATCTGATCGCAAAACAACAACAAAAACCAAAAAAGTTTTTCATTTTTATAATGTATTGTTTTCATTCAAATTTACTGATAAATTACTCTGGACATTTGTCATTAAAATAACTCCATTCGAAAAAGCAGAAGAAAGTCATGTCTGAAAGCTTCAATCGATTTTTAATTCGTTAAATGAATGGAGAATATCGTGTTTGTCCATCGGTGGTGCTTGAGCCACTGATGAGGTCCGCACTTATTCCTCTGAGCCGTCCACACAGTCGTCATCAACGGAGAAACCCCACACCCCTGACTAACCATTGTCATACGCACACCAAAGTCCATTTCTGCGTATAAATAGAACGCCAGATAGAAACAGAAACTTGTGTTATTGATACACACTTGATATTGATATTGATATTGATAATTTATGATATAAAGCAGCATAGATTTTTTTATTTTAAGACAATAATATGCTCTCGCGGGCCACATGAAATGACACGTGCTCTAGAGCATCGAAAATCTGCTGTTAAACCTGTTTCACTCAATCTAATTAGCCTAATTGTACAAATATCCAGCTTCAGCTGGAGCTTCACGTGTCAGATCTTGACTGATTTTTATCAAGCGTCAGAATAACGTCAGTAATATCTCCAGATGAACACTTACTGGACTGAAGCAGCTCAGCTTTACTTGATTCTCCATCAATCATGTTTTAGAGTCTCAAATCTGATCCTCAGGATCTTTTGAGGAGCGTTTGTTTCCAGAAGCTTTACTTTCACTGTTCCTCAGCGGAGGAATGATCTTCACAAGCCTCCAGAACATCTCACATCTTCTGAGGAGCCTTTATTTCTTCAGCTCTCAATCACTGCATTATATGTTTGGATCATTTACATCTCATCTTACTGAGACAGATTACTGGAGATATAGAGTGATGACTGATATTTAGATTATTTTGTGTCAGTATCTGCTGCACTGTTATAAAGATCTCACTGATTTACATTAGGCTACATTATTCACACTATATCAGACTATATGAGCCATAAATCCTGATTGATTGAATGTGATATGAAACTTTTTTTTTTTAAAGTCTATAATGCAGAATAACTTTTTAATTACACTTTTGTCTTGTTTTCAGGTAAAAAAATATTTACTAGCGAGAAAGAGAAATTACTATATTAATAAGACACATTTACTTAAACATTTTAGCCATAAAAAAATTGCAAAATTATTACACATTGAGTTACGAGCAATGTCTTTTCTTCATCCTGCTGGCAAATTGTTTTAGACATTTCTTGTTTTGAATATTATGCAACATAAACTCTTATATATGACAAAACATATATTCTCTGTAAATATGTTTCATTGTCTTGCACAGTTCTGCTTCTCAAGTAAATTTATCTTGTTTCAAGGATGTTTAGGTATTTTATTCGATATTTACTTGATTAATTGCCATGTTCGCCAACCATGTCGAATTCATGTTGTTATGGGGAAAAAAATGAATAAACGATGGCATATGAAGAGGACAGTCATATAGAATTATGGGTAAGGATATGTTTGAATGTAATATCACACGCAGAATGGTAAAAAATAAATGCTTTTAAAGCTCTGTCCAAAATGTTGTGTTCAGTCAGTATGGATCGCTGTACGTTCTGACCAATGAGTTGAGTTTTTAAGAATAAACAGAATCATGTTCCCTTTTGTTTCGTTCCATAAATAGTTCATGTGGTGTCCTGTGACTTTTTTATCTAAAGCATTACAGGCAGTCATGACAACAAGTCGTGACAACAATCATGTGACCCAACTTTGGTAACAGGGTTGCTCAAGTAAGTTTAACTTTTGACTTAGTTTATCATAATTTTGATGTTTATCTCATAATCTCCGGGGGGGTGCTGTCCCTACCAATATCCAGCGACTACCAAATTGTCCCTATAGCAATAATTTTGATCAAACAATTAAATATATATGTATACGGTTTATCTGCCAATCAGATGCACATGAAAATTTCTTTACTACAGCAACAGTAGAGTTTTCGATTTCGATTAATATTAAAATAAAGTTATGCGTAATTGAGACATCCAGCGCTCTGATGCTGTTGTAATGTTGTTGGTTCACAAAATCTAAATTGTGTAGCCTAATTATTACCTGTAAGCTATAGCTAAGCTATAAAGCTATATCACAGTTTATCTCATAATGTTACAATTTAGTATGTCATGGGATAATTCAAAATTGACAAAGAGGTGAAATTATAATATAAAAAGTCAAAATTTTGACACTAAATCAGAATTCTAAGATAAAAGTTTGAAATGACATAAAATCATAAATGTTACATAAAAGTCCGATTTTATGACTTTTTGTCTCACAATTTTGATTTTTAATCTCATAATCGTGACTTTTACTTTTTAAATAGTTTTGACTTAATATGTCATAATTTCGACTTTTATGCCATAATTATGATTCACCAAAGAATTTTATTTCTCAAATGGCAAACATGCACAGCAGCCTGCTTTATTTAGCGTTCATGTAAACACTACATTCAGATTCATCAATCGGAATGAATTCAGTCCAATTGAAAGAAAAGTTGTGCATGTAAACAAAGCAAGTGTCAGTTTAGTGGCCAGGTATTCCAGTTATTAACACTAGATGTATTTATCATTTTACCTCCTGATGCTCTTTTGCAGGTCGCTCAGGGAATTTGTTTACTATCCTATAGCTTCTCAAAAAAATGCCCTGTGGAGGATCAGCGGCGCTTTAGCTAAAGAGGCCTTTGAGATCAGCTTGTTAACAAAGATGACAGGAGACGTCGTCACCAGCAAGCTGGAGTTGCACACGCTCCTCAAAGCCGCTTACTGCTTAGCCACGACTCACAGATGGATGCTCGGCCCATCCGAAACGATCATCTCAGCGATGAGCGCCTGTCGGGAAGCCATGACTTTATTTGTTGACTACTGCGCTAGAGCAGATTTCACTTTGTGCACCGAGATCATGGCGAAGATACAGCAGATTAAGTTGCTGTTCAAGTTGGAAAAGTTTCGCAATCTTTTATTCCCGACAGCTACCTTTTAATGGAGTTTGGGCCTCTCTTGTTAATGCTCAGCAATTTTGCGAAGGCATTGGATGTTTTTGGAAGGCACCACAAGTCTGTTTGTGAGGCGTTCGAGAAAGGCGTTCGATGTGGTTCGTGCTCGAATCACGCAAAGTGTATACCGGCGTTCCAGACAGACATGGAAGTTCTCGCAATGGAGATGCAGAAAGCAGATCATTCACGTCCGTTTTCCTCCAAGGAGAATCCATCTGGTAGCCGATCATCTTTAATTCTGGTCAATCAAAGTTGTCGCACTGTTGATGAACAAAGCAGCCTTGCATCTTATGAGCTGGTTGATGACTTCAGCAATGGTAGTCAAGAAGCAAACATCGTCAATCCAAGCAATCGAAGTAGTGCTAATCCATCTGTTCCCAATACCTTTAGAAACAACAATGGAAGCCCTAGTCAATGCCAATTGATGCAAGAGCTCGCCACAACTGAAGATGTTGAGGACAACCCATCGGAAACATCAAAAACCCAATGGAGAGACAATCAGAAAAACCAGAACTCAGGAACGTCTTCAAGTTCCTTCAGCAGTGGCTCTTCATGGAAATGTGTTTCAAGACATAGAAACCAAGGAGGACGTTGCAGATCCCTCTCATGATAGCATCGATGCAAATGTTGGTTGCACCAAAGGTGGAAGGACTTCTTCGCTTTCCCTCTGCGATAGCTCCGCATCATGTTCTTCTTGGCAAAAACTCTCTATAAGCCCCGTCGCTAACGTAAAACGTCTTGAATTAACACACAAGAAAGAAAGGACAGATCAGCATCTTCAAGTACCGTTGCACTCGCGTCTCGCACAAAAGAGCCTCATGTTTAGAAAGCCATGCAAATTAATGTAAGTTCACCTTTTAAAAAACATGTCTCGAGACTTTATAGCGTTTTTTTTTTTCCATCCCACTGCATCTCATGTTTTTAAATGAAAAAGTACTCTTTGTGATTGGCTTTTGTCCCTTTGTATTGAACTATGCAGACATGATGCGGGTTTGTTCATAATTGTTTAAGCAACATAATTTACTATATTTGGTTTATAAACATTATGCACTTTTTCACAGATAGTCATGCTATTTTATTGCTTTAATAAACGTGCATTAGTAATATTTTGCTCGATGCGCCCCTTTGTGGCCTCATGAGAGAAGCCAAAAGCTTTTTTCCCCCCTAACTGAAATGCCTTTTAAATATACAACAAATCAGCATCAATACAACAACAGGTATGGCAGTGTTGAAAATCCAGGTTTCCCATCCACCCCAAAGACTGTTGAGCCAGTTAAACCAAGAGTCGTTTCTCTCTGGCTCCGGGATGGACTCCTTCATGTGGGTTATTTTGTTTGTGATGTTGTCTGAATTATCTGGAATGTAAAAACAACAAGATACTCCCAACATTTTACAAACTCCCCCGAGGACTTGACCGAGCTCAAAATGTCCAGGACCAGTCTATTTTGAATAACTGCTTCCCTCATTTTCTTCAATTCCTCTGTAATTAACCCTAGTGCAAGAGCGGTGTCATTTCCTAGTGACAAAACCTGCCATGCTAAACCATTGTTTTTGTTCTAGGCAGTGGTAGTCCCTACTCCGGTAAAGAAACCGTTTTCCCCTGGAGTTGTCCATGGACTGATTGTCTTATCCCCGTTGTAACGATCAGGCATAGCATGTGTATCTCGTTTCTTTCTACGCTGTGTCCCTTCACTTGTATCACTATTCTTCCGTACCAATACTGTGGTTCCTGTACAAGTAATATAATTTGAATATTGATACTCTTTAAATGCAAAATTAGAATTTATTATTTCAGCCCTAGTAAGATGATGTTTCATGATGTTTCCTCTGCAAATTGAGGTGAACGGTTGTGATAGAAGCACATGTCCTCGTCTAATCTGGCAGATGCCATCGTCTTGAAGTACTCGAAGGCCTCTGATGTCTGGATCGGCTCGGAGAGCAGCGTTTACATCGGGAAACTGATGGGCGTCCAGGGCAGGGTTGCCAGGTTTTCACAAGAAAACCCACCCAATCGCTACTTAAAACTAGCCCAATCGCATTTCGAGGGGGTCCCCAGTTAAAAGTCGCGTTCCTGGGGGTAAAATACAAGTTTTTTTGGTGGGGTTCCCCTGCTAAATTTGGCATTCCAGGGGCTAAATATCACGTTATTGGAGTCGCTTCAACCCGCGGACATGAAAAACAACCAGCGGCAACAGTGTTAAAGTAGCCCAATTCCGCGGGAAAATCATAAAAAAAAGAACTGAGAAGAATTATCTCGTCTTATTGAGAAGCGTCTCTCAATTCACTTATCTCTTAATAAACATCATCAGTTTTTTGATAGCATTAAGATTTTTTAAAAAATGCATAAAGAAACATTAAGGTTTTTCCAGACGGGATTCTAGATTTCTCTTTTCATCAATCCATGAATCAGAAAATACTTTCAACAGACAGGAAACAAACACATTTTTACCATGTTTTTAGGAGTAAAATGTTATAAAAACTCGTATGGATGATTTATTCAGCTTTCAGATGATGTAATCTCAATTTAAAAAAATGTACCCTTATTTTTGTGTGTGTGTGTGTGGTTTTGTGGTCCTGGGTCACATATGAGAAATGAGGAAGTGACTGTTATTATTAGTAACACATTATCAATAACCTTTGGATGCAATGCATGCTGTTCCACATGATCAAACAGAGTCATATGACAGTGTCATCATTAATGCCACGGCGTCATGTGATATATATATATACACCTTTGCTTCTTTGCTTCTTGACTACCAGTCAAAAGGGTTTGATCAGTAAGATTTTTAATGTTTTTGAAGAAGTCTCTTCTGTTCACCAAGCCTGCATTTATTTGATTCAAAATATAGCAAAAACAGTAATATTGTGAAATATTGTATTATTTAAAACAGCTGTTTTCTGTGTGAATCTCTGTTAAACTGTAATTTATTTCTGTGATGCGCAGCTGTATTTTCAGCATCATTACTCCAGTCTTCAGTGTCACATGATCTTCAGAAATCAGTATAATATGCTGATTTGCTGCTCATTATTGTTGTTGAAAACAGCTGAGTATAATTTTTTTTCAGGTTTCTTTGATGGATAGGAAGTTCAGAAGAACAGCATTTATCTGAAATAGAAATTTTTTGTAACATTATAAATATCTGTATCATGACTTTTGATCAATTTAAAGCATCCTTGCTAAATAAAAGTATTAATTTCTATAACCCCCCTATAATTTCTATAATGTACTAAACTGTAAATTATTGATAATAATAAAAATAATAATAAATGCTTCTTGAGCAAATGATTTCTGCATTAATCACAAATGAAAAGTTATGGAAATTAATTGGTTTACGGGTTGAGAACTCCTGAGGAGACTGATGCAACAGAAAGTGCTTGTAAACACACAGCATATGGAATAATAACCAGTGGATGTTAAATGAAAGCATTCGAATCTCTCATGGTCTCAGAGCTGGTGTTGATTTGAGCTCTTATGATCCACACATGTTCTCCTGAGAGCAGGCGGCGGAATCTGAACAGAAATGACTGGAAGATGCTCTGCACAGATGCCGCATCGATGCTGTACGTCTTCTGTACTGCGTTCTAAGTGCTTGAAATAGTTTTATGTCAGATATTGTTTGGTTTATTTCAAACATTTGTTCAGTTTTAGGTAACAATAGTAACTAGCAATGCTTGTTGAGACAGTGCTGAAATTCATGTGTTTAAGATCAATGTAAATATATTTGTTTTTTCACTATATTTCATCACAGAGCATTTTTTATGCTTTAATTGAAATGAGTGGTGTATGACGTACAATTGTTACTAGTAGCTAGTTTATACATCATGAATACGGAAACATGTTGAAGCATTTAAAGCAGTTTTTATCATGAACTTCAGTTCGTCTGTAATCTGATCTCTCATGTAAGAAAACAACGTTGTGCATGTGCAGTAAAACAGACCTTAAACACAAGTCTTCAGTTTTGTGGACGTTCACTCAGAGATCAGTCATTAATCAGGTGCTACACAGCATTTAAACACTGGATTTACAAAAATCCTTTCAGCATTTAACATCAACTATTGATGAACAATTATCACTCTGTAGCTTATTTAACCATGTATTTCTATGTCTTTGGAAGGCTTTTCTTTCAAACACATTAAAATTCACAAACTTTTCTGATTCTCTTTCACATAACATGTTTACTTCAAGATTTTAAAATAAATATTTTAATAATTATGTATCACGCTTGTATGTTCATGGCTCTCTGACGTTGGTTATGGTCACATGACAGGCAGGTAAACAAATACAATATTAAATTTTTGTTAATTTTGATTGATTTTAAAATGATTTTAATTTTACATTTTTAAGATTTAATTAATTATTAGCTTTTCACACAAACCCAGTTTGGGAAACCTTGAATTAATATAACTTCACTTCGTGATGTTAAATACAAGGAATGAAATATATTTTCTTACTCCTTGTAGTTTTTATATCAATATGGTACAAGGTTATCTTATTTAAATCATTGTGATAAACGAGACAGGTCGAAAGTAATCTAAAAGTAGTCTGATTACATTACCTAAAATGTGTAATGTAATGGATTACGTTACTAACTACAATTATTGTCATGTAATTTGGAATCAGTAGTGGATTACAATTAGTAAGTAATCTGCCCAGCTTGTGATAAACGAGACAGGTCGAAAGTAATCTAAAAGTAGTCTGATTACATTACCTAAAATGTGTAATGTAATGGATTACGTTACTAACTACAATTATTGTCATGTAATTTGGAATCAGTAGCGGATTACAATTAGTAAGTAATCTACACTGTAAACGTGTTCATGAATGTTTTGCATGAAGTAAATCATGTGGTCTGTGTTACAGGAACTCCACCGCTGCTCTCCGGCAGAATGAGCTTGGTGAGTTATGATCCTGAACGAGTTATGACATATTAAACGTCAGCAAAGAAGAGCTCATTAATGACCATCCACTCCCATGATGCATTGCGAATCTACTTGCATGATGACTGGTCTGTAGTTGTGTACCATTGTTCGGTTTGATTGTATCATTCACTGAGATTCACCAGCAGTTCATTGTAAAAGCATGTAAGACTTGTTGTATAATGTGTATAATCGTTATGATGCTTTCGGCCAGCACATCCGTTTATGGGAGTCTGGTCAAGTTCAGAGCAAATCGTTCCATGTGGATTTGCTGTTCCTGTTTCGAGAGGTGAAGCACAAACACGATGTGGAACTACAGTTAGGTTTCTCATGAACAAACACAAACCTCTGAAATATCAGCCCTACAGGAACAAGAGTCATTCACTCCACATCCGCATCAATGCAGCTTCAATATATAGACAATATCATTCGAAAACATGCGGCTTGTTTGATACATGTAATTTAAATTCATAGGAAAGTGTACAAACTACACAGAAAATGTGCTGAAGTTAAAGTTTGAGCACTCTGACATTTAATTGAGTAAAATATTGACAAAGTATCTAAATAAACATTTACTAAATTCACCAGATGTTAACTGAACCAAAACTGTTTTTATGTCATCATTATTATCGTTGTTATTATAATTATTTATCATAATTATGCCTTTTTCTCTCATAATTGACTTGTTATAATTTCAACATTTTAACCTTTTAATAGATTCATATAATTTATAATAATTTATGATTTAATTTAACATTTTTGTCAATTGACTGTCATAATTTTGACTTTTTATTTCATAATTATGATTTTTTTTATGCCATAATCTTGACTTTTATCTGATAATTATGGCTTTAAAGTAATATTTTGACTTTTTAATGTCAAAATGATTTTTGTCACAGTTGTGACTTTTATTTCATAATTTACTTATCATAATTTTGACCTTTTACCATAATTATGGCTATGCCATTTTTTTTTGTCGTAACTTTGACTTTTTATCTCATAATTGACTCATATAATTTAAACGTTTAATCTTATAATTATGACTTTTGTTGTAATTTTTACTTTTTTATCTCATAACTGTGATAATTATGACTTTTGTTGTAATTTTGACTTTTTATCTCATAATGACTTTTTATGTTATGTCGATTTATCTCAATTGACTTTTAATGTCATAATTTTTTATTTTTTTATCATAATTATGTCTGTCAGAATTTAATTTATCTCATAATTATGACGTCATAATTTTAACTTTTTTATCTCAATGGACTGTCATATTTTCTACTTATCTCATAATCATGACTTTTTATCTCTATTGACTGTCAGAATTTTGACTTTTTTATCTTATAATTGACTTTTTATGTCATTGTTTTTACTTGTCTTGTAATTTACTTTTGTCATAATTTTGACTTTTTATCTCGTAACTGACTCATATTTTTGACTTTATCTTATAATTATGACTCAAATTATAATTTTACCTATATCGTAATTAGGACTTTTGACAATTTTCACTTTTTATCTCATGGTTATGGCTTTTTTTTTCATGATTTTTACTTGTTTAGAATTGACTTTTTAGGTCATGTTTTATTTTTTATCCCATAATTATGGCTTTTTGTCATATTATTTATCTTGTAATCATGACTTTTTATGTCATCATATCAATTATCTCATAATTATGACTTGTCATAATTTTGGCTTTTTATCTAATAATTGACTCATAATTTTTACTTTTTATCTTATAATTATGTCTTTTTATGTCATCATATCAATTATCTCATAATTATGACTTTTTGTCATAATTTTGGCTTTTTATCTCATAATTGACTCATAATTTTGACTTTTTATGTCATCATATCAATTATCTCATAATTATGACTATGTCAGAATTGCAATTATTTATCTTATAATTATGACTTTTTATGTCATCATGTAAATTATCTCATAATTATGACTTGTCACAATTTTGGCTTTTTATCTCATAATTGACTCATAATTTGACTTTTTATGTCATAATTATGACTTCTTATGTCATCATATCAATTATCTCATAATTATGACTGTCAGAATTTCAATTTTTTTTATCTTATAATTATGACTTCTTATGTCATCATATCAATTATCTCATAATTATGACTGTCAGAATTTCAATTTTTTTTATCTTATAATTATGACTTCTTATGTCATCATATCAATTATCTCATAATTATGACTGTCAGAATTTCAATTTTTTTATCTTATAATTATGAGTTTTTATGTCATCATATCAATTATCTCATAATTATGACTGGTCACAATTTTGGCTTTTTATCTCGTAATTGACTCATAATTTGACTTTTTATCTCATAATTATGAATTTTTATGTTATCATATCAATTATCTCATAATTATAAAACTCTTTAAGTAATAATTATGATTTACCCAAACATTGTTTTTTTATTACGTGACAGAAATGGGCTTCCCTATCTCCAGACATACTGTCATATAATTAAATGTGTGTTTCTAATGCTTTCTTCATTTATTTGCTCAGGGTGTAGTTTATATCATCGACCACAGGAACCGGACGTGTCAGAAGAATCCTCTCCACCCCTTACACATTCCCCATAATGCCTCGCTGCAGTCACAGGTAGTTCTGGGAGGATCATCAGCGCCTGGTGAAGGTCTGCTGGTCAACACCTGGACGGGAGACGTACCTGAGACTGGAGGTGAATGTCATGTGGATTTTAACTAGTAACAGAAATGAGTTCTAATAAAATTAGAATTGTAATATCTGTAGGACGCAGGTTGTATTTAAGATAATTTGCCATTAATAAAACAGGATGCAACGCATTTTGTGAGAAAAATAAATAAAATAATTGTAGTCATAAAGTTGAATAAGGAATAAAACATGATTTAAAATGCATTTTAAAAATGATATAAAATGATAAATAAAAATTATAATAAAAATAAATATCTGTATGATGCATTTAAGAGGTTTTTCTATTAATGAAACAATTATAAAATGAAATATAATCATAAAATGAATTAAATAAAAATATTTAAATTGTATTTAAAGAAACAATAAAATAATATAAAAAATATTGTATTTTTATTTTTATATTATTAAATCTATTATATAAATATTTAATAAACATATCTGTAAGATGCAGAATGATTTTACATTTATAAAACAAGATGCAACTTTCTAACCATTTTCAGGCAGATTAACCTGTTCCTGATCAATGAAATCAAACCGCATCCTACAAGTTCTGTTTTATTGTTTATACTGCTTCTCGGAAATCGGTCACATTACAAAGTGAAAAACATTGCAAATACGGTTTCCAGCAGAAGTGTTTTAGATGAGCAATGCATTAATGCTGATTAATGTTTCATCTACAGTAGTTCTGTAGTGGAGTGTACAGTTAAAATCACTGCATGCATTTAGTTAATGATTTTTTTCCCCAGGTAAATATCTGGCCACAGTCACAGAGTTCGGTTGCGTCCCAGTGTCGATGCTTTACTACAGTGCAAGGACTGATTGGATCGTCACAACGTAAGCCACTGTTCATATATGATAAGAGGCATAAAAATAAACTGACAAAAGCAAATTTTACACTATGTTTTTATGCATCTGTATCAATCACTGCAGAGTTTTCTCTGACCGTAGTAATAATTAAGTCATAATGTTCATTTTTTTTAGCTATTTTAATGCGGTGAAGGGGATTGAGGACCTGGAGCAGTTAATTCCTCCTCCGTTCTGCGCCGATGCAGAGACTGAAGACGAGAAACTCGATTTCTTCAGCGCCTTTTTCTGAGGAATCTGTTTAACACGCTGGAACGCTGGCACTTAAATCACATGCTATGATTTTAACTATCCTAAACCAATGAACATTTTCAGAATGCTCCTTTTGTTAATCGTTTCATTTTAAATGCTGTTGCTGCTCGTTGTGATTTGCACACTTAACGCACAGTCAATCTAAAGCACTTTCATCACATACAAAAGGGAAAATAAACTTTTTTTTCTCAAACACTAAATCTGAAACGTCTGTTCTAGCATCATATTTCTGGATTTTTTCACCTGTACATTTACGTTAGATTTATGCATTTAGCAAACATCTTACACATTTATGCATTTCTTTTATCAAGGTTTCTGCATGCATTTTTCTAGGTCTTAAAAGACTTCAGACCAAATACAGAAAATTTAAGGAATAAATGTAATGGAACACTATGTCAATACGCTCTCTAAAAATCAACTCCACTGAAAGGGAAAACAAGTTTTCATTCCCCATTCACAGATATTTGTCCTTGTTTTAAGCAGAAACTCATTTTTGTTCAATTTCTCAGAAAACAAAACTTCATAATTTCATTTAGCTTCTCCAGTAATTCTTCCTTGATGTTTAACGATTTGTATAGTAAAACAATACAGACATACTGTGGAAGATATTCGATTTTTGCAGTGCATGCAACATTTAATGTCATGACTTTATGAATTTAAGCATATGACTATGCATTCATGAGGCCTTAATTTGTGGAAAGAATTAAGACTTTTTAATACTCACAGAAACCTTGTGTTATCAAAAGTAAGCTTTAGATGAGTTTGACAGCAGGATACTGTGCATTATTTTTGTTAAAGTTAAATATTGAGTGGATAAAAAATTCAAGCACAAACAAAAAACTTTTTTTTTTTTCAACTTTATTGCAATCGTTTCATTTGAGAAACCTGTCAAATGCATAAACTATTAAAACACTGAACCAACCATCCAAGAGAATGAAAGCAAATCATTTAGAGAGAAGATCAGAAGAGTCACAAAACATTTGCAAAAGGTGTTAAATAAGGAAAGAGTGACTGAACACACTTGTGCTTCTGACTTGCATAAATCATGAGTGTCGCTCAAACGATGTGCCTCATATATAGTCGTGGCTCTTGATTGATTGGTCCTTTAACTCTAATGAAGCGCTAATATATGAGTGAGCAACTGGTGCAAACCTACGATTATCATCGAAACCTACTGATCTCTTTCCTACAGCGCTGCGTTAGTACACTTACCAATTTAACTTCCTTCACCAAAAGATTATTCATAAAATGACAAGAAACAAACCTTGATGCCTCATTATATGAAATGTGAAACCAAACGAACTAAACTACATAGAAAACCAAAGCATGGAAGCAAAGATATCCGTGAACTGTTTAAAGTATTGAAAGCGTTATGGCATTACCTTAATAAAAAGTTAAACTATTTTAAAGCTTGACTGCATGGATTCAGCTTCGAGTAAATCTTCCTCTGTTAAAGGAATAATTATTTTCGCAATGCTGAGTTTACATCTCACAATTCTATTTTTTCGTTTCCACCATGAAAAAAAAAAAAACATGACATTTTTTCACAATTGCAGGTTTACATCTCCTAATTCTGAATTCATATCTTGGAATTCTGACTTTCGTTCTCAGAAATGCCATTCTGACTTTTACTTGTAATTCTGAGTTTACATCTTGAAAATCTTTTTTTTCCCACAAAATGTTTTTTTTTGTTGTTGATCATTTTTATATCTTCCAACTCTAAGATTTTATGTCGCAATTCTAAATTGTGAGATATAATCTCAAAATTACAAGAAAAAAGTCAGGACTGCGATATAACTCAGAATTCTGGCTTTTTTTCCCGCAATCCTGAGTTTACATCTCACAGTGCTTTTTTTTTTTCTCACCACAAAAAAGTAAATTATTGAAAATCTTTTTTTTCCCACAAAATGTTTTTTTTTGTTGTTGATCATTTTTATATCTTCCAACTCTAAGATTTTATGTCGCAATTCTAAATTGTGAGATATAATCTCAAAATTACAAGAAAAAAGTCAGGACTGCGATATAACTCAGAATTCTGGCTTTTTTTCCCGCAATCCTGAGTTTACATCTCACAGTGCTTTTTTTTTTTTCTCACCACAAAAATGTAACATTTTTTAACTACATTTCTGACTTTTGGGCTCAGAATCGCCAGAAAAAGTCAGAATTGCAACATTTAAACTCAAACTTACAAGAGAAAAAAAGTCATAATTATGAGTTTACATCTAGCAACTCTGTTTACTTTTTTTGTTTTTTCGTCACAAAAATGTAAACTCAGAATTATGAGGAAAAAAGTAAAAATAATGTGAGATATTAACTCAGAGTTATGGCTTACTTTCTCGCAATTCTGACTGTTTCTTGTAATTCTGAGTTTACATCTTGAAATTCATTTTTTTTTATCCCTTATACATCTTCCTTTTTACATCTTCCACGATTTTGTTGCAAATCTAACTTGTGAGATATAAACTCGAAATTACCAGAAAAATGTCTGCGATATAACTCTGAATATCATTTTTCAATCCTGAGTTTACATCTCTCAATTCCGTTTTTTTTTTTTCACCACAAAAATGTAACTATTTTCTGACAATTCTGACTTTTTGGTATTTTTATTTTGCAATTACGTGTCTCAATCCTGAAAAAAAAAAGTCAGAATTGTGAGATAAGTCACAATTACTTTACTTTTTTGTCCCATGTCAGAAAGATGAAGGCTGTTTTCAGGCGCTGGAGGATCAGAAGACAGTAATGCGTCTTTGGCGCCGGATGTTTCCTGAGAGCGTGGGATTGTTTACGTCATGAGCAGGTGATGCACGCGCTGCAGCTGCTGCTGCGACAGGACGAGGCAGTGCGTCTGCTCCGCGCCGCGAGCGCAGGGAATCATCACCTTCCCCACCAGCACCGAGCCGCTCTGCTGCTCCGCTTTGGCCTGAGACACACACGTCTGCAGGGTTATTCCGGAACACACTCATGGAGCTATAGAAGTGTGTTTGTGCGCTCTTACCTTGACGAATGAGGCGGAGGGGAACGAGGCGAAGTCAGACGACACACGAGCTCCAGGCCGCTGCGACACGACGTGCTGCGACACTTCAGCCTGAGACAAACACACACACACCGTCAAACACCTTCAGATCACACTGCACTTCATCAGATCACACTGCGCTTCATCAGAACACACTGCGCTTCATCAGGATCTAACTCAGATTGTTGACAGCGTGATCGTCTTAAGACTTTGGCAGCTTGGGTCGTCAATCTATTACTCAGCCTTCCCTGATGATTCTCAAAGGTTCGGTCTCTAGGCAAACAAAACAGAACAAAATGAAAAACAAACAAACCAACAAATCAAAACACAGAGAGAGATAGAGGAGAGAGCAGGTTTAAGCCTTTTACTGCTGTTAGGGGTTATGACAAGGCCTACCGAGTAGAGGGCGCAGCTGGGTCATAACATCTAGTGTGGCAGCCTTTGGAACGGTTAATTACTTTAAAGATTGAGGAGCAACCTGATTTTGGGGTTTCGCTAGCTGGATGGGTCAGTATTCTATGGCTAGGCTTAGTGATGGATTGAGGTGATTCAGTCTGGATCCCGTGGCAGCTCACTGCGATCCGCCGTGGAGGCAACTGTCACTTCACCAACTAAGCACTAGAGGGAGTGTTACCTAGAGAGAGAGAGAGAGAGAGAGAGAGAGAGAGTGTGTGTGTGTGTGTGTGTGAGAGTGTGAGAGTGTGTGAGTGTGAGAGAGAGTGTGTGAGTGTGTGAGAGAGTGCGTGAGTGTGTGGAGCGGCTCACACTGACCTTCAGTCTGTAGTTTTCACTCTTCAGTTGCTTGATGGCGAGTCGCTGCACGTCGATCTGCTGTTTGAGGAGAGGAGAGTCCACCACCTGAACTACACCTGAGACGCCGCTCACGCCTGCTGCCATTCCTCCTGAACACACATATTTCTATTTAGATTTACTGTTTTCACTTTCATTTTAAAGTTTTAGTAATTGTATTAGTTTTTTTTTTATAAATATCTACAAAAATAAAAAAAAATGATTTTTTTTATTGCAAACTAAATGACACTAGATGATAATATCGTGCATCCCTAATATGTGGCCCTGGAGCACAAAAGCAGTCTTAAGCAGCACAGGTATATTTGTAGAAATAACCAACAATACATTGTATGGGTCAAAATTATCCATTTTTCTTTTATGCCAAAAATCATTAGGGTATTAAGTAAAGGTGTTAATATATTATGTAAATTTCCTACCGTAAAAATTATAGATTTTTCTTTTATGCCAAAAATCATTAGGGTATTAAGTAAAGGTGTTAATATATTATGTAAATTTCCTACCGTAAATATATAATTTTGATTATTTTGATTAGTAATATGCATTGCTAAGAACTTCATTTGGACAACTTTAAAGGCGATTTTCAGATTTTTTTGCACCCTCAGATTCTAGATTTTCAAATAGTTCTCGACCAAATATTGTCCTATCCTAACAAACCATACATCAATGGAAAGCATATTTATTCAGCTTTCATATAACGTATAAATCTCAGTTTCAAAAAAGTTGACCCTTATGACTGGTTTTGTGGTCCAGGGTCTGTATTAATGGCCATAGTTATAGTTAACTATAATAATATCAATGTGTTTTAGTATAATTGATATACTATCAAAGTTTTTGTTACATTTTTAAATTAGATTTGAATTATGTATTTTCTATTATCACTTTAATTGTAGTTCAAGTTTTAGTACTTTTTTGTTCGTTTTTTATGTCTACATAGTTTAATTATTTATATAGTTATTACATAGTTATTTTTAATTATTAATTTAAGTTAATTTAGTTTTGGCAATTAGCTGAAATTACAAATAATTTTATTTCAGTTAATGTTTATTTTATTTCAAGTAGCAAAAATGTTTTTCTAATTTTAGTTTCCTTTCAGTCGGTCACTCTCGACGTCACGTCGGTGACCGAAGAATTGGGATCTCGCTTAGAGAGAATCCACTTAGAGTGTAAAATAAACGAGCCAATGCACATTGGCATGCGATGATTGCAATCCAGCTGCCGCTGATCACAGCGTGAGCATAAAAAGGCAGCCGGTGCAAAGCATACCAGCTTCTGCTTCGGAGGCGAGCGATAACATCTTTCTGCTCCTGACTACTCTACTGAGAGAAGACTGAACGAGTTCAGCGCGCTCTTTGAGAGCTCTTCGTGTTGGAGGTACGGCGCTCCAGCGGTGGTGGTTTCCCGTGTCGAGTGGGTTGCACACACACTACCCCCTGTTTGTGTTGCAGGCGGCCATCTCCCGTGCGCTTCAGCACGCTGAAAGAGCTTTTTCCCTAAAAGAGCATTCACGGGTACGTCTTTTTAAAGACGACGTTGCGTCTGGTAAACTCAACATTGCGTCTTTTTAAAGATGGCGTTGCGTCTTGCTACAGACAACGTATCACCCATGCGTTTCTGGATGCGTAACCTGGTGTCGGGTGATGGTCACGAACACTGCCTCACATGTCTGGGCATTAAGCACACGGAGGTGGCGTTCGTGGATGAGTCATGTTCTCATTGCGGGAAGATGACCATCTCAGAGTTGCAGGCCAAGCTCAGTTACCTCAAAAGGGGCGGAGCTCCATTGCCTCTGCCTCGATCTAGTTCTCGTCATGGCGGCAGTTAGGCGGGGGCTACTTCAGGCAGTAGCATGGGTGGTCTGAGGGTAACAGTGATGGAAAATCCTCCAGGGAACCAACCCCCGGGGACCATTGCTCCTCTTGCACTCCGCAACCAGTTGAGCTGCCAAAGGAACGTGTTGGGCCCTCTACAAGGAGCGTACCAGCAGTATCCTTCGGCTTTCCTCCCGACGATCGGATGTCGATCGCTGCATCGGAGGGTGAGCCGGAGCTTTCTGGAGAGGAAGATTCGGCTGCGCTGCTGCCCTCTGGGACTGTAGCAATGCCTGAATCGGATCCGGAAATGACGGCTATGCTTTCCCGGGCCGCCGTGAGGGCAGGGCTCGAGTGCAAATCTCCACCGTGTCCCGAGCCCTCAAGGTTGGACGATTGGTTCTTTGGGGTGGTCCGCGCTGGTTCTTAGCGCCCCGCCCCGGTGCCATTCTTCCCGGAGGTGCATGAGAGGGCTTACCAGGTCGTGGAAGGCACCTTTTTCTGCCGGACACTGAGCTGCTAGCTCCTTTGGTCCGCCCAATGGACCGGGTCCCTGCGTTCCACCTTGCTGCCCCACCGCACGTACGTTGGTGGTCCCGCTGGTCCAGCTTGTACGGTGTCTAGGTGTCTGGCTACCCGAACGTCTCGCTGTCTCCTGCGGACCATCAGACTCGGCTATGCAATTCAGTTTGCCCGGCGTCCCCCCAAGTTCAGCGGCATCCGCTTCACATCAGTGAAGGCGGCCGATGCTCCTGTCTTGCGTGCGGAGATCGCAGTCCTACTGGCGAAGGATGCGATAGGTCCCTCCAGCCGATATGGAGATGGGGTTTTACAGCCCCTACTTCATTGTACCCAAGAAAGGCGGTGGGTTACGACCGATCTTCTGGTGCATCCGTCCCCGAGATTGGTTTGCAGCGATCGACCTGAAGGATGCGTATTTTTATGTGTCGATCCATCCGCACCACAGACCATTGCTGCGGTTCGCATTCGAAGGACGAGCATATCAGTACAAGGTCCTACCCTTCGGGCTGTCCCTGTCACCCCGTGTCTTCACGAAAGTTACGGAGGCAGCCCTTGTTCCCATGAGAGAACAGGGCA